AATTAATCCAACCTCCACCCGATAACAACCACCACAAGTCAAAAAAGAAGGGCCGGAAAACGTTAGTTATACTAGGGCAGGACAGCAAGATATGTGTTTATGGGAGAAATAAGAACTGTACGACAACTTAAGGTAGAGTAAATTTTATACAAACATAAACTTTAGGTACTTGAATGCATATTAATTTAACATATGGTAGTACTGTACAGTGTACATGAATACAATTAATGATCTTTGACCTACCAATAAAACAGAATAAATTATGGTTTATTATTTTGCAATGAAGATAGTAGTATAAGGCTATAAGCATGCTCTAGCACAGTATTTTGTCATTATGTCAGGGTTGCTTCTGATCCTACGTTTGTCAAAGAAGGAAAAATGGTATTAATGGAGGTTGCAGCAATGCAGCATGGTTGTTTAAAGAGGGTGTTAGGTTCTAATTAAGCCGAACTACTGCCTAATATTTAAGAGCATTGATGCCTTTTTGTTTCTCCCCCTTTTTTTTGGTAGTTAGTAATCTGTACCACACTGTATTAAACCGAAGGAGGACAGGGTAACGGTTAATGGGTTGGCAATGCTCATGAACCAGAAAGAAAAATGGTGTATTGATTGCAATACGTGTTTGAGATTTTCTCATTATGACTCTGTTTGGTAATTAATTAGCGGTTATCTGGTTGCTATAAGTTAGCTACGTTAGCTGGTTTTTATGTTTTAACAAGCCGATTGTAGTAGCTAGTTACATGACATGTTTTATCCGATAAAGCTCCCTTTTTATATATTACAGGGTTGAGCACAATCTGTTCATTAAATCACTCTTTACCAAGCAATCAATAAAAATAAAATCATAGTCTACCAAACAAGACCTATCCATTTGACTGGTTTTGTAGGGAAATTTAAAACAGTATGATTTTATGCATATAGGTCCATTATTGATTATTCATGTGCCATGTCAAGTACCCTTTAATCCTTTATAAAGTGCTATATATGGACCTCATTCTCATTCCAAACATTAAGACTAATTAAAGAGTTATAACAAAAGGTCAACTACCTATCTATTATAGTTGACCCACAGCGGTCTACTTTTGCTACCTTGTTCTAGGATTAGGTTGCAGCAAGCCAGCAATTGCTATTTGTTAAAGGTACAAAATGACACATCTCAAGCTCATGTTTAACGTGGCCCTTACATAAGTTACACTGTTACAACCACAAACTACTATACAAATAAATATAGACTTGATCATTAGAGGGTTGGGTCAATCTGCCTTTCAGACTTACAGGTTTGGTTTGTGCGGATAAGGACAAACATAGGTTGGGTCATTTCGTTTTAGTTATCAGGTCATTTTCGCCGTTTGGACCATGTAATGACTAATCTTAACTTATTTTCAAGCTTTGATTGAACCATTACGGGAATATAGGTAGCTCTATACCTCTATGTTACTCAACTTGTTACATTGACAAAAGTTAAGCGACACACGAAACTTTGTTTAATGAAAAACTCGTGACATTTTTGCTGATAACTAGGGTCAGTCATTTACTCATTTTTTGTCAGCCACTAGATGATTTTTTTATTTGATTTTTTCAAAAAAATAAAAAAACTTAGTCCTCTCATTTCATTTAATTATATAGTCATTTTCGTTTCTTGGATCAAGCAATGAAAAACCTTTGGTTTGTGTGTGGTTTGAGTTAGATAAATATAGGTAGATTATGTCTTATTATACCAGCAGGTTTAACGTTGTTAAGATGGAGGGCCCATTAGTAAAGATTAAAGACAAAAATAGTACGGAGTATATGCTTGCCTACAGAAAAAAGGCTTACCTGACACATAATACAACTTTGGTGAAGGGATGAGCACAACCTAAAATGGGTGTATAAGGTAGTACTAAGGTGCGCCCAATGACATATAGTCAGACCAATCCTTATCGGTCCGGCCACTCTAAAACCCTCCCCTTCATTTCCTCCTCGACTCCACCCCACTCGCACCTAACAATATATTTAAGAATGGAGGGACGTGTAAATGGTCCTCCAAGTCTCCAACAGTTGTAACTTGTAACACCATATACATGTCCTTAATGGATGTCTGGATCTGTGCTGGCTCTTCTAGGGTCTGTCTTGGTTTGCTACCTACTGTACAGAGGTTCCATCATCACGTTAGGAACATTATGGCTAAAATGGATAGATTTGGAATGTGAACACATTATATCGGATTTTTTAACAACAATTTCAAATATGAATTAGGAATTCCATCTAACATAGTATAAGAGTTGAGAAGTGAGGATGGAAAACCTTTCTGAAAAAAAAATTGTAAACTGAAACTGGATACAGAGTTCAACGATTATATCCTATTCTACTTAGTCTACTATATCAGTTTATTTCAAAAAAATGAATATAGACATTGATGAAATAGATGTATCAAACTTATAAACATAATTACTGAAGAATTATATATTTCTAAAACCTTTTGCAGGGAGGTTGCTAGGGAAAGGGGGGCATGCAGAAGTGTACAAGGGATGTTTACCTGATGGTACAATTGTAGCTGTGAAGAGGCTTACGAAGAAGGGAGAAACGGAAGATGAAGAGAGAACTGCAGATTTCTTATCAGAGCTTGGAATAATTGCCCATGTAGACCATCCTAATACTGCTAGTCTTGTTGGATTTAGTGTTGAAGGTGGTCTATACTTGGTCCTCAAATTTGCTCCAAACGGCAGTATTGAGTCTTATCTTCAAGGTGCCTTTTGTGTTCATCTTTTTCATCCTCACATGTGAAGCAAGACCTGTCAAACAGTTTTACAGACATTACTTTATTAACTTAGTGAGAAATGAAAGTAACAAGAGGAAAACCCCAAAAAATGCAGGATCATTAGGAGGTTTGGATTGGACAACAAGGCTCAAGGTAGCTCTAGGAGTAGCAGAAGGATTGAGTTACCTTCATCACACTTGCCAGAGGCGGATAATTCACCGAGACATCAAAGCCTCGAATATACTACTTGCTGAAGACTATGAGCCATTGGTGACCATCTATCTTCAACAAACAACTATATTCAAGTGTGATTAAAAGCTTTTCATCTTCTTCATGTTTCACCTAACAAATTGAACTTGTTTTTTGTTTTCTATTCTTGCTTTTGGCTGAAAATTGGGCACAGATATCTGATTTTGGGCTAGCAAAATGGCTTCCTGAAAAATGGCTTCACCATGTGGTGTATCCTATTGAGGGCACATTTGGGTAAGCAAATAGACTCCCTCTAGTTTAAATAATGTAATTTAAGCAAGTGTATTCGCCTTTTAGTTCACTAGATCTAGGCTAATCTAATTTCTAAATATTCTTTCTTTCTTTCTTTATTTTTCCCAGCTATCTGGCTCCAGAGTATTTCATGCATGGGATTGCTGATGAAAAAACAGATGTATTTGCATATGGCGTGGTATTACTGGAAATCATAACAGGACGTCATGCTGTTGCTGTTGGTTCCAATCGACAAAGCCTTGTGATGTGGGTATGTATTCAGATTGTTGATATGCTTAATCTTTTTAGAAAGAAATGAAGGAAGTTAGGAACAGAGATTTTTACTACCTGACTCAACAACAGTCTTAAACACTCTTAAGAGTTAAACCTGAAACCAAAAGCGTTTTCTGAAGGTTTCTGAAACTTCTGTTTTCCCATCAGGCAAAACCTTTCCTTGACTCAAGCAACATGAAGGAAATAGCAGACCCAAATTTGGGGGAGAATTATGATACAGAGGAAATGAGACGCATGATGGCAATAGCTTCCATGTGCATTCATCATACACCAAGCAAACGCCCTTTCATGAATGAAGTAATGCCTTTTCTCCAAAACTTATCCTCCCTTAGTGTATTACTCTATCCATTGTAAAACTAACTACCTTTAATTTTAAATTGTGATCAAGGTTGTAGAGCTACTTCAGGGAGAGGATGGAGCAGAACAGATTAAGGAAAAGTCGAATTCCCAAAGATCAATTATGTTGGACGCCTGTGACTTAGAAGATTACACAAGCTCTAACTACCTCCAGGATCTCAATCGCCATAAGGAACTAGTCATGGAGTGATATGTCCCTCAAGCTGCCACCTTTTGTTGTTGGTTATCCCTCGATTTTTTCTATTTGTATGGGATGACATTGATGCTGCAAACAATTTGCTTGGCATCTAGGCTATATAGCTTTTCTTCCTAGGATGTTGAGTGTAAAGATAAGTAATATCAACAACTGTGAAGCGTAGAGATTATAAGTTTAATGTTATCATCAAGTAGAAAGGTTCAAGGTCTTGCTTCCTCACTCGAGGAAAAACAAATATTGTATTGGTTAGCTTGGGGAATCAAATGCTCTGTACAGTTCAATAGATTTTGAGTTTTCGTTCTTTAGGACTTCTCCTTCCTATGTGCATAAACAAACATGACTTAACTTGCAAATTATGGGAACCAAAGAAGATTGGTTATAACCTTAATAAGAAATTCAACAAGTTTACCAAAGTTAGCAATTAATTCTGATGGCAGAAGGTCTAAATAGCTCAATGATTCGAAATTTGATCTCAACTCTAGGAAACTTTAGTGAAAATCAAATTCTTTTCACAACCAAGGCACGTACGAGATCCTCAAATAAATGTTATCTAAATCCCAATTCCCAACAACAATAACTTCCTATCAAGTATAAGTGCTCAACTTTCGAATCTCACACTAGTTTAATCAACTTGAATGGGCTAGCAAGAGACTAGTCTAAAGTACAAAGTTATCGGTTTATTTCTCCTTTTACTCCGTAATAAAAGGCGACATTAAATTAGCATTACTTCTTGAAAAGAATACGTTGCGATTTATTAAATGACAAACTTTTTTCATTTGTGAATTTACTTGTAGACTTAAGAAAGCCATGAAATCTAGCATGTAAAAAATCACAAATCACAACGATGCACCACAAAAAGTGAACAATTAAACAATAGCATACCTGAACACTCCACAAATCAGGCGCAACCAAATAGATTCTTTCCAAAAACCAAAGATGCAAATCATATCATCGGAAACAGCGATTCAGGTAGCTTTTCTAGCCCTAACCCTAGCAATCTTCTTCGTCATCTACAAACTTCCGAAAAAAGCCTTCTCGAAGCTTCGATCGAACAACCGCGCCGCCTCCCAATCAAGCCACCACTTCCTCAACGGCGCTCAACTCCTCAGCCGCGCTAGATCGGCGCGCAACCGCGCCACAGCCGAATCCTTCGCCAAAGACGCCATCGCAGAAGCTGACCGCGCAATCTCTCTCCTCCCGCGCGACGCCGCCGCGCTGATTCTTCGCGCCTTAGCGCTGGACGTTCTCGGCCGCCGTACTTCGGCGCTCCGATCAATCGACGCCGCGATCTCACCGCCGGCGGTGAAGTCGCTGTTAGGGAGAGAAAAAGGAGATGCGCTGGTGAAGCGAGCCGAGTTACAATTGGCGGTGAATCGGCGGCGAAGAGTTGACTCGGCTTTATCGGACCTTGTTGAAGCGATGAGTCTGACTCGGGATAATCCAAAGGGGTTTTGTTTATTGGGCCAGTGTTATGAGATTAAAGGGATGAAAGATGAGGCTTGTGAGGCCTTTCGCGAAGCCCTAAAGATTGAGCCCGAGTCCACTCAGGCCCGTCAATGTTTGGCCCGACTGAATTCATCAACATGATCCAGTTATTATCAACGTTATTTTGGCCTTGTTGTAATTTATTTTGATATATTTTCTGAGAATTATGTATTTTGTATGTTAGTTATTCAACATTTCAAATCATTTTGTCTTCTAACCATTTTTGTTTTTTGGTTTTTTGTTTTTTCAAAATCATATGATATATGTCATATAATGAATTAAAAATAGTTAAACTTATTAAATCATGATAAATTAAAAAACTAACAACTAAGGGTTTGTTTAGCATTGTTGCGGTTTTCAGTTTTTTGGTTTTTTGTATTTTAAAAGTGTATGATATATGTCATATAATGAATAAAAAATTAGTCAAACTTATTAAAATCATGCTAATTTTGAAAACTGGCAACAGAAAAGTGAAAACATATTTTTCTTGTTTTTGGTTTTTTGTTTTCAAAAAAACTAAAAACTCAAAACAAAAAAACAATGCCAAACAAGCTCTAAAATGTGAAAACACTTTTTTCTTATATTTGGTTTTTTGTTTTTAAAAAAAACATAAAATTGAAAACCAAAAACGATGTCAAATTATCCCTTAAGCTTTTGATGAGAATTCTACAGAGTAGAAAGCAACGAATTCATGTAAAAGATTTAATTTGCGATGGTGATATTTCCAATGGTGCAATGTTATTTGTACAATTGTATCCCCATTTTGACTTAGGATTGGTTAAAAGTTAAAATAAATTTAATACAGTTAAGTAGAAATAGGCCTTGATTTGCTTAAAATACTTTCAGACATGCAAATTATCTATGTGCTATCAATGTACGTAGTATGTGTGAAGTGTTATCAATGTTGCTGTTGGAAATAAGAGAAGACGGTCATTGATTAGATTTTCAAATGGGGCATTCATATTCAAGTACAAAAATCCAATAATCGTTTATACAGAAGATGATCGTTGATTAGAGTTTCAAGTAAGTCCTCTGTTAATGCTATGAGTCTGATAATCATAAATGAGCCGTGGATGTGTGCAAGCAGACAGTAATGGTGATAAATATAGTCATGTATAAGCCTTTGAGACGTGCAAGCTAGGGGTGAGCAAAAAATCAGGGTACCCTGAATCGGAATCGGAACCTGTTAGGAACCGCAGGTTCCGGAACCAGAACCTGTACAAGAGGTTCCGGTTTTGGGTAGCAAGCTGGAGAACCTGTTGTAATAGGTTCCGGTTCAGGTTCTCAATTTTTTGGAACCGGAACCTATAGGGTACCCTGTACCTAATAAAAGTATCACTTAATTTTAAATTATACACTAATTTTTACTCAATTTTTAAATAATAAATATCAAAATTACAATTATAAAAATATATATATTAAATTTGTTAGACAACTACTATTAGTTTGTCTTATTTGCAAGTTGCAAACATTATAAATTAGTGACCAACCAGTTTTTTATTAAAAATTCCGCGAAAAAGTTCGTGAGTATATTATAATACAGGGTACCCTGAATCGGAACCTACAGGTTCCGGTTCTGGTTCCTGGAATTTTTACAGGGTACCCTGTTATGCTCACCCCTAGTGCAAGCAGATAGTAATGGTGCAATATAAAGTCGTGTTACTCATGTATAAGCCTTAGAGGTTTGCAAGTGAAGACTAATGGTGAATATACAGCTTGTATGAGCCTTGAGGAGTGCAAGCGAAGACATTAATGGTGAAAAATATATGTAGTGCCATAAGAATAACTCGAAAAAAAATAAAACCTTTCCTTTTTTCTTTTTCTAGACGACATTTCTGCAAGACCTATTTTCATCAATCTCGCGATGCAGCTATTGAAAATAAAGCTAACTATACATACACAAAATTTCCAGTATATGCCTCTAATTTCTACCAACTTTCAAAATGAAACCCCAGAGTTCTATAACATCAGCCTTGTCAAAGGTTAATCACTAGTCACTACACTAGGAGGCTAAATGGGTCAGATTCTAAGATCAAAAGACAATGTTGGGTCAGCTGAGAACGAACGATAGGGAAAAACCTGTTAATAATAAGAGAGACATCTCTGGGATTCAAAATTAGCTTTTTCTTTGATCAATAGCACTAATTTAAGCTGAACTAATACCTAAAACCTTCTAAACTCTCAACCCCCCATTAGTAGATCACCTATTCACCTTGTTAATATGATTGATGAGGCCATATGTAAAACTCTGCAGGCGTCTGTGGCATCAGCGACATCATTGGAGCTACTGAAGACATCCCCACACCCGAACCATAAGCCTCAGGAGAAGCAACTGCCTGGTGGGATCCACCATTGGAATTCAGGTGATGGAACAGGTTCTGGTGGAAGATGGCTGTTGCGGCATCATATGGCACAGCACATGAAATGGGAGGAACAGATTGGATAGCAGCAAAGTTAATGGTGCTGCTTGTACCACCGCTACTCCCATTGCTTGAATGGGATTGTTGGTCTAGGCTGAGTGTTGGTTTCTGATCAGCTGCCTCTGTAGCAAGCTTCAAGCGCTTGGCAGCCCCACCGATAGGAAGATTGCTTTTAAGGATAGCCTCAACATCATAGCGATTCATCTCGAAGTTGGTGACTGCATTCACACCCCTGAACTTGATGGCAGCTATGTCATAGGCCTCGGCTGCTTCCTCTTCAGTTGCTGTCAATATATATTATCACAATTTGGGATTTAGATTCTTCAATAAGTTAAGGGAGATTAAAAACAGTATGGCACGCAAAAGGGATGGTAACATACCGAATGTTCCAAGATACAAATCTTTGTTGCCAGCAACACGGCCTATCCTTGCTTGCCATCTCCCTTGCTGATGATGCCTGCATATCAATAGACCATTTGTATATTTTGTTAAGTAGCTGAGAACATAATAAGCATGATATTACATACGAAAGAAATACATGACTAGTGTATGTACCTTGTGACACCCCGGTAAATAGATGCACCCCTAGAGAAACCACTACTTTTCCTAGAAAAATTTTAAAAAACAAAACCACATCAGTAATGCTAATTGTATAATCAACACCAAAATCAATAACAAAATATGGTTAGAGACCAACCTTCTGAGTGAAGCAATGAATTCTTGCTTAGTCACATGTTTCATATCTTCTAATTCTGTAGAATAATTAGATATCTGCATAGACACGAGAAATTACATCAGTAATCAGAATTTTTGACAAGTTCGAGTAGCTTTTTAGTCAAGTATAATTAGTATAGCTCGAATTCAAATTTCAAATTACCGGGAAGTTGGTGGTGGCAGTGGGGCCCCAGTACTTAAGAGCTGCCAAGTCGTATGACCTAGCTGCCTTTTCTTCTTTATCATACCCACCTGGACCATAATGCACAAATTTTCTATAAGTTTGCTTATCTTATCAACATGCTCTGCCAATTTTCACAACTTCATCCAATAATCTGAAATGAAGTAGTCAATGATAACACATTGATATAATAACTCACCTAAATAGACTGCAACATAAGGAAAGCCGATCATCAAAATTTCCGCGAACCATGTCAAAAAAAGGAAAACAGAATGTTAACATCTGAATAAACTTTTGTAGCAACCACACATACAATCCAGACAATATCAAGTCAATAGCAAAGTTTAAACAGCGAAGGACAGTAACTCAGAAGTCATACTCAAGTCATAATAATACTGATAAATAACAACATTTACATGTCCATACATAAAATAATTGCACCGTTTCTATTATATTAAGCAGTGCAACAGGAACTAACTGCGAATTCGCGGCACGTATTACCAACTTTGTCATACTGTCTCAAACACCACAGACCAAGTTCAGCAAAAAAATGAAATCAACAACAAATAATTTAACCACCCCACCAAAGTATTAACAAGTAAATTATAGTAAAAAGTGTATAAACTACAAAAAAGGTGCGGCCTAAATTGAGGGCTAGTGTTTTTTTTCAGTGCAGGACAATTTGGTGGCTTGGTCAAACCTACAAATTGGACTGCCTCAATCCAAACGGTGCATGAGAATAATAAAGTGAGGGAAAAAATTTAATAAAGCAAAAGCAAAGAAGTGGAGGGAAGGGAAGGAGGGTTAAATTTTAGCAGTTTGTGTTCAGACTTTGGTGTAAGAAAGTGAATGACAAAAAGCACCACGGCTAGGCTGGCCTTGTAAAACACTTTTGCCACCACAACTGTTTTTTTGCTTCTCTTTTCTTTACATGTGGAACCACTCTTCGGTCCCATCGCGATCGAGTCACAAAATTTTAAAACTTTAGATTACAACGAAATCAGCATCACACTAACATATCTCAGATTCTCAGTTACTGTAATCTGTAAACTAATTTTAGCCCTTAAACCAAATTTGGACGTTCTTTTCATTTCAATCGATAATCAATACATTAATTTTACCAAAATGCCCTTTTACATAAGTCCGGAATTCACACCCTCATCACCATGCTGAATAACGTTAGCACATCTAAAATATCCGACCACAAACCATAGCAAGTTTCACACAGAGGGAATACAACTATACAAGTTACGGGTTTTATTAGTAACTCACCAAGTAACAGGTTTTTACGTAGTACAAGTAGTACACAAGAGCCATTGTATTGCAAAATGGTACACAACAAGTAAGCAACATGTACATAAAATGTAGCAGCTGGCACGTATACAACTTTAGGTTACAACTTTTACTTTCGGCCTGACCAAAACACCACCAAAGCAAAATATCCAAAATAAAGGAAAATAAAAAAAAAATAATAATAATAAAGAGAGGAGAGAGAAATAGTTGTAAAAAACAAGAGATAGAGAAGACAGAAATGAAAGAAAGCAAGACCCAGATGAAAGCAGAGAGTAGCAAAATGGCGGCATATTTCTGACTGATGAGTTAAACAGTGAAATGAAAGCAAGGACTCAGACTCAGACTCAGACTGTTTAGTAGTACTAGTAGTAATACTGTACCAATAATATTCATATACACACCAAAGCTACCACTTACATCAAATCAATCATAATTTTCTGCTGTTATTTAAATAAAGTCTTTAACCTTTAGTTTTTATTCATTTTTAGATCCCTTCTCACTAGATTCTACTACTACAGTACTTATATTAATCATTCTTTTAGATTTTGAATTTGTACTCCACAATCAATTTCTAATCTCTTGTTATTATTGCATGTATCTTTATGTTTAATCACTTGATAATCAATTTAATTCAAATTTGGATAATATACAATACCTGTCACCTCATAATACAAGTGTAATAACGTATTCCGTATTAATTAGTATGCATTATTGGTCAAGCATTGAATACTGTTACAATAATTAACCTGTGCTTAATCTGTGAGCATTACCTACAATAATGACAATTATATACCAGTAATTAGGAATGAATTAGTCCACATTAATTGACCACTTAACAGATGTAATTCATTCCTAATTACCCATCATCTAGATAATTAATGCACTATTATTTGCTAATGTAACATATTACTGTAATGCACTACTACGAGCAAGTTTCGGAAAAAATAAACACAAAATAACATTACTCCGTAAATCCTTGACACGGTCTATAACAAAAATAGGTACAAACTGCTCCATATATTTAATCACTCGACATCAATAGCTACTAGTTAGTAAATTAATTAATATATAATCCAATAATAATTACTTTGTTCTTGACTACTTGAAGCAAGATGAATATAAAAAATAAAAAATAAAAAATAAAAAAGATTAATAAAATGAAGTGAGATTAATTACCTTGACGCCCTTTTCTTGCTTGCCCTTCTCTTCTACAGCTGTTATCCCATAGATGTGCTTCATATCTTCCAGTCCATCTATGCCTATTTTTTTTTAATAATTAAAAAAATTACCATTAGCAATTTAAGCAAGAAAATTAAATAAATATAATAATTTGAAGGGAAAAAAAAATGAAATACCTAGTAACACCTCTGTAAATGGAGGTCCTTTGACCAAAAGTATCAGAAATCTTCTTAATACTATTATCAGAATCAGCAGCAACAGTAACAATTGATTTATCTGTAGTTTGCGGAACTACAGAAAGCGACAAATTACCACCATTGTTGCTATTGCTATTGTTGTTAGTAGTAGTAGTAGCAGCACCACCACCAAAACTCGGAACCAAGTCGGTGTGAGTGGACTCAATAGAATGACCTAGAAACTCCGCCCCAAGATGAGTCGCCGCTGAGTCATCAACTTCAGAACCTGAGGTCCCAGAAAATGCACCTTGGTACCCTCCTGAAGAACCCATCGTTTTCAGATCCTGCTGATGTTGTTGCTGTTGTTGGTTGTTGAAATAATCAGCAACGGAGTTTTGTTGTTGTTGGTGGTGGTGGTGGTGGTGTGGTTCGTAAAGGTGAGTCAACTGAGAGGATGAGTCCTGAGTTGTTGACTCGTTTTGACTGTTGTACGACGCCGTATTGTTGTTATGATCACCGCCAAAGAAATCTTCGAGTTTTGGTACTGTGTTGTTGTACGACGCCGTATTGTGGTGGTGGTTGTTGTTGTTGTTATCGTCTATCTGTTGGTCCACCACATAGTCGGTGTACATTCCCATTCCTGCTCCTTTCTGATTCCCCCAATCTGTCCAAAATATAAAACATTATTGTAAAAATAATACGACATAATAATAATAATAATAATAATAATAATATGAAACGGAGGTAGTAATAATAACAATAACACGTACCGGTGGTGTAAAAGGGGTCGAGAAAGTAATGATGAGGAGAAGGGGAATTAATAGGAATCTGAGGATTATGAGTTTGATGAGAAGAAGCGAGCATTTCCATAGGAGAAAGAGAAAACGATAGCCAGTTGCTATTACTTGTTGCGGCTGCTGGTGCCATTGATTTGATCAACTCAAAACACGAAAAATAAAAATGTTGAAATGGTTGTTTATATTATAACATTCGCATTCAAAACTGTTACAGTCAAAGTAATGGGTTCCGAAGACTAACAATATATGTGTGTGTGTGTGTGAAACGATATGAACGAAGAGGTACGAAATGAAGAATAAATGACGAAAGGGGTGGGAGTGAATAAGTGATGAGTCAGGGGGAAAGGATGAAGGGGAGAAGGGGTAATTAATGTAACATGCAACGAATTGAATTAAACACAGCGTTTAAAGGGAGTGATGCATGGAATTAAGGAGAGAAAATGGAGTGTAGTGAGGAGAGAGAAAGAAAGGAAAGAGAGAGAAAGGAAGAGAGATGTGGAGGGTTATAAGGGGGTGAAGGGGCGGTTTGAGGTGCCAACCGGCGTTAGTCCAGAAAGACAGATACACACGCACATACGTTGCATAACCAACAACAGTATGTGACTGACTTCATTTTGGGGGTTTATTACTTTTATATTATTATCCGAGTTTGTTTATTTCATCTTATTTTATCAATACTTATTTTAATAGAGTATATCGAGTATAAACTAATTTAACTTTTTTAAAATTTAACTTTGTATGTTCTAACTTAATTTATCTGAACTTATTATATATGTTAATGCACAGAATATACAAATTATCATTTCGTTTTTAAAGATAGATAATCTTAAGACTTACTAATTCATATCGAAATAAGAACTACATAACATGTAATTAGTTTTTAAAACTAACATCAGTATGACATGTATGACTATTTTTTACTTTATGTATCTATATCACTCTTATTACCATTATCAAATAATCGTAATAATTTGACTTTGACAGTAATTAATTAAATTTTGGCCAGATATTTTTTCTAAATATATAAAAATCATTGTTAATGTCGTAGGATTAATCTCAATGTATATTTATTTTAAAAAAACACATATTTTAATTTAATACTTGTGCATAATTGCATACATTTAATGTCTAATTTGTACATTGGTGAAATTGAAACACATGTCAGTCAAACTATTAAAAGTATTCAAAAACGTTGATAGTACGACTTTAAAATTCTACAAACCGTAAAATGTAAATTGATAGAACATAATTGTGATTTGTGAATGTAAATTAACAATACTCCGTACTTACGAATGTAGACTGATAGAGTATAAAAACATATTATTGGGTCATCTATAAGCTTAAACTTTTGATTAAGATGGTCCACATTTTAAGCCTAAATGGCCTTATAGATTATAAAAATATATTCTTAAGCTTCAACCATAAGCTTAAACTTTTGATTAAGATGATCCACATTTTAAGCCCAACTTGCCTTATAGATTATAAAAATATATTCTTAGGCCTTACCCATAAGCTTAAACTTTTGGTTAAGATGATCCACATTTTAAGTCCAAATGGCCTTATAGAGTATAAAAATATATTCTTGGGCCTTAACCATAAGTTTAAGATTTTAGATGAGGTCCTCTAACATATATAAACTGGTACTAATAGTAATTGCAAACTAAGAAGTATCTCTTAGTTACTCAAATTGTATTATGGGTAGCTAGAAATAAAAAAAAATAATTAATTAGTTAATTAAATTAAAATTAAGAAGAAAAAAAAAAAGGAATGTGTAAATTTTATAAAGGATCAAAGATTTGAGGATGTGATTAGAAATGTTAAAATGACTTTAATTTAATTTGTGAAGGTAAGTTTGGTTTGGGTTAGATTAAAAAAGGGGTGAGGTAGGAGGTGTGGCTTTTTAGCTAGTGAGGGAGAGAGGGGGGCAGAAGTTTTGTCTGAAACAAACAAGGTCCCGAAAGATCCGGGCTCTGGCGGTAATCGGAGACTTTGTTTGCTTTCTCTTCCCTCTTTACTTTTTTTTTTTTTTAAAAAAAAAAAAAAATTAATCAAATGGTAATAAGATAAACAATTTTAGGTTAATTAAAGCTGTTTAGGTGAATAGGGTGAATAAATTACTACTTGAAGTTTAAAGTATACATGTTATTAGGCTTGAAAAAAAAAGTATACATGTTGTTATCATCAACAATTTTAATTGTATAATTGTAGCATAATTCTTATGTGATTACTGATGAATTGATGATTAGAGATAAAAAAAATGTTTTTGGTTGAATAGTCATTTATTGGGATAAATTACTAGCTACGTCTCTAAATGATTGTAAATCGAGGACACGTATAAGTGTAGCGGATTAATCAGTGTTATAACGGATTAATTACTAGCTTTATGAATAAGGGTCTGTTGTTATACGATTATTTTCAGTTCAATTCAACTCAACTCTAATAAGTTCAGTTCAGTTAAGATCTAATAAGTTCAGTTCAGTTCAGCTCTAATAAGCTTTGTTCTGTTCAGTTCAACTCCTAATTTTCTTCTATTATAAAATATTCATTTCATTTCAATTCAATTCAATTATGTTCTGTTCAATTCAATTCAGCTATAACAAGTTCAGTTCAACTCATTTCAATCAATGAGAACAGACCCTAAATCTCTCCACCGTAACCCTAAAATATAGTTTAGCATTAGTTTTAAACTTGGTAAGTTGCATAATAATTATAAATATCTCAATGTTCCAAATATTGTTTGTTCATCATCATTGATATCAATTACTCCTTTGATTATATTCAATTATAAAGTTTGTATTTAAATTATAATGTACTCAGCATTTTAAAAATACTTCCCATTTGTCAAGTTAGAGACAAATACAGATCTTAGCTTCTTCCTCTAACCTACCCTTCCCCTCCTATTAACCTCCCACTAGCTTGTAATACATACCTTGTGCAAATTCATTCAATTCTATAATTCAAGCAAATAGCTAGTGCATGTAAATTAAACTACTTAATTAATACGTCCAATTTAAAAGAATGCGGTATTTTAGTGTGCTTATTGTTATTTATTAATCAATTTATTAAAAACTCCATGATTTCTCCTTTTAAAGAAAATAAAAGCATGCATATAGCATATTTGTTGAAACAAAAAACAATTTTATTTTATTTTTTCAACTAGTGAAACTTAGTGCTTCATATTTGAATATTTTCCATACCTTTATTTGAATTAAATTGACAAAAAATGAATGTGTCCCGGTGTTTTGGGGACAATTCAACAAAATACACTTGTCTTTCATGCATACCTCTTTATCACCCTTTTGTTGTTAATCTTATCTCCGCAGTTGAGAAAGTGTATGAATAGTCAAGATTCAAAAGAGAAAAAAGAAACAAATAAAAGGCTAATTTTAACTGATCAATTTGTTTTGTTGCTTTCTCCTAGCTGTAAACTATCTTCCTATTGGTGTTTTCCATTTCCATGCTTCCAAATTTCATGCATTTTTTCAGACTCATCATCATAGTCCTCTCATTACTACGGAAATTAATGTAACAACTTATGTATACCTACATGAATAAATTAAAGAGTTAATTACAATAATTACAATTATATTCCTTCAATTAATTCGGATTTAGAGTCTGTTCCCTTCAACTTATATATTTTCAGTTCAGTTTAGTTCAATTTAGCTCATTTCAGTTCTTAATTTCCTTCACTCATAAAATATTCAGTTCACTTCAATTCAACTCTAATAAGTTTAGTTTAGTTCAATTCAGTCGAGTAAATCAGAACAGACCCTTCATAATCGCACTTTCAATATACTTACAACAAAACATTATATTTTTCAACATGATTTTAAAAGAGGTTAAAGTAGACAGAGCAACAATTATAGATGATGTACAATTTTTATTAGTGCATATTACACTATTTACGTCATTAGTAATCTAAAACATATAGATTAATCAATCAATGAATAAATCTGTTGGTTTTTCTAGTTGTGGAGACTCTTGTCTTATATGCACAAAGTAGAAAATTAGCAGCGAATTTTAGAGACAAAAACTTAACATGGGATGCAGATAAAAATCTTGCAGAAAACTTCAATTTTATTTTTATTTAGAAACTAATCACAGTTTTTGTCCGTTTATGTATAATAAATATAGATCATTTATCATGTACATTTTGATATTAATTCGTTACTTGTACTATAATTTCTCGATCTACCGACCTTCACTAGACCTATAGTAATTTAAAGTAAAAAGGGAAAAAGGACAATTAAAATAAATAATAGAGTTTGTGAACAAATTAACTATTCTAAGCATGGAAGAACAGTCAAAGCAATTAAAAATAGTAAGTAGATTAGCCTTTTGAGTTAACTTCTTTTCTTCCCTTTTTTTTGCTTTTTTGTTTTATCTTTAAGTAATTACTTAAAACAATAAGTATATTATTACTGTACTAATAGTAATGCTAGTACAAAATTTCTAAAGTTGTTAATCCATGCGTATCACTCTTTTTTTTACCAGCTCTGCAACAGCCTTAAGATGATAATATAGACAAAATAGCTATTTCAAGAGCCAAAATAGTCAATCTTAAGAATAATATGAACGCGTGTGTTTTAAGAAACTGTAATTTAAAATTAATTTGTAAGAATTTAGATCTATATGCATGTTTAATCAAATTAAAATAGACATGAATAATAATCATATTATTTGTAATAAACAAATCATTAAATTGTAATTAAGTAGTTTATTCCGTTAAATGAGAAAAGGTGAGAGTGAGGGATAGTTCAAGGCTAGTTGTTAAAACTTCCATCTTGATTTCAGGTAATTTTGAGATCGATTTTCATCACTCTCCCTTGTGTCTAATATTCCGTATAAAATTTAAATGTGAAAAAGTACTCCGTATTATTTTTGGGATGTAAGTTTGTTCATATATTATTATTTCATAACCTGCAAAGACCTGTTCGGAGGTTAAACTACAATAATTATCGTATGATGATAAAGATCAAGTAAATTTTAGCAGTAATGAGGATGAGAAAGGAAAAATAAATAAATAATAAAGTTCAACAAATTAAAGATTAAACAAATTTCCAAGAAAGACGAGCCATGTCAAACAAAAGTTTAGCAAAATCAAGTGAATTTCAGCAAAAATAAGTCGAATTTAACAAATAATATGTACACAGTTTAAACCAAGAAAAACAGTGTTACAATTTATCATAATATTTGAATTTAAATACTCCGTAGGTAGTTATATAGATTAACTTTATAAGAAGTCATCCACGCTAAATATCAAAGCAAATAAGTTGTACTCAAACAAATTTTAAAATCACATCAAGTGAGTCAATAAAACAAAGACGTTCACCCTCTCCGTGAATAACCTACCAAGTACCAAGGTAACATCCACTACATCAATTTAAAATAGCCGTTCGTATTTTCTAAATATAATTGGGCTAGCTGAAAGCAAAAGCATACTACTACATCTGTTCATCAAACGTAAAAAACAATCATCTCATGCAAAATTATACACAAGTACAGTAGATAATGAATGACATTAATAATAAAAGTAATTTTAAATAAAACTTCAAAATATATATATATATATATATATATATATATATATATATATATATATTTATTTTTAATGTGCAAAATATGACTTCCTGAATACCTTTTACTTATTTTTTTTTTTAAAAACCATCATAATGTTATTTGTTATGTTCCATATCAGTATGAAATTAAAGGATATAATGTCATCTTGTCCTGTTGGTACTATTAGATATCA